CGGCTTGGTTAAAAGAGGTGGATGCAAATAAAACAGAAGTTGAAATGAAAGAACTAGTAATAACAACAAAAATGGTAGAAAAAAGAGCAAGGAAAATCAAAAATTGGTCAGCACCAGGTGAAGATGAACTGCATGGGTTTTGGTTGAAACATCTAACTGTTATACACCCACTCATTGCCAAGCAGTTCAACAATATACTACAAGGAGGAGAAATTGAAAAGTGGCTAACAACTGGGAAAACCTACCTAATAATGAAAAATCCAGCAAAAGGGGCAACACCAGGCAACTACAGGCCAATTACCTGCTTACCAACAACTTTCAAATTACTAACTGGTGTGGTAGCTGATGCAGTACAACAGCATCTAGTTGAAAACAATCTCTTTCCACCTGAGCAGAAAGGAAACCGCCCCAATAGCAGAGGAACAAAAGATCAACTCCTAATAGACAAAATGATCTTGGAAAACTGCAAGAAAAGGAAGACCAACCTGAATGTGGCATGGATTGACTTCAAAAAGGCATTTGACTCTCTGCCACATGACTGGATAATCAAGTGCCTAGAAATAACAGGAGTCAGTAGAAACATCAGAAAATTTGTGCAAAGATCGATGACACAATGGAAGACACAGTTGCAGATCAATGGTGAGAGACTGGGAGAAGTTAATATCAAGAGAGGAATATTTCAAGGAGATTCATTATCAGCATTACTATTTGTTATTGCACTGTTTCCTCTGTCAACAATACTGAATAACTCAGGACATGGCTATCAAACATCAAAAACATCTGCCAGACTATCCCACCTCCTTTACATGGATGATCTGAAGCTGTATGGAAAAACATCATCTGAAATAGAATCGTTGCTCAACACTGTCCGTATATATAGCCAAGATATTGTAATGGAGTTTGGCTTGGACAAATGTGCCACACTTACTATCAAACAAGGAAAAATAATGAAAACTGAAGGAATCAAGATGCCCCACGAAAATAACATTAAGAGTCTGGATGAGGAAGAGTACTACAAATACTTGGGTATCCTTCAAGCTGACAACATCAAGCACACTGAAGTCAAGAAAAAGATTAGAGGTGAATACATCAAGAGAGTGAAGAAGATCTTAAAGTCCAAACTCAATGGAGGAAATACCATAAAGGCAATCAACACCTGGGCAATCCCAATCATTAGGTACACAGCTGAAATAGTGGACTGGACTCAAGCAGAACTAAAAGCAATGGATAGGCAGACCAGAAAAATAATGACAATGAATCATGCCCTTCATCCACGCAGTGACATTGATAGACTTTATCTACCAAGGCAAATAGGTGGGCGTGGAATGCTACAAGTACATCAGATGGTTGAAGAAGAAAAAATGGCTTTGGAAGAATATCTGAAGAACAATGATGAAGATGCACTGAAATTAGTATATCAGGAAGGCTTACTAACTACTGGAGAGACCAAACTGGCCTACAAGAAAGACCAAATGAAGAACAGAATAGAGGCATGGGAAGACAAAGCACTACATGGCCAATAAGTGAAAAAAATAGCTGGGAAAGCAGATAATAATAAAACCTGGCAATGGCTAAGAGCAGGAAAATTGAAGAAAGAGACCGAGGGACTAATTCTGGCTGCACAAGACCAAGCCTTAAGGACAAATGCATACAAAGTCAAAATTGAGAAGACAGCAACAGACAGTAAGTGCCGCCTATGCAAAGAAGCTGAAGAAGCAGTGGACTACCTGGTAAGCTGTTGCAAGAAGATTGCACAGACTGACTACAAGCAGCGGCATGACAAAGTAGCAACAATGGTGCATTGGAAGATCTGCAAAAAATATCATTTGCCTGTAAGCAAAAACTGGTGGGATCATAAAATAGAGAAAGTCATAGAAAATGATAAAATTAAACTGCTCTGGGACTTCAGAATTCAAACAGACAAGCACCTGCAACATAACACCCCAGACTTAACAATTGTCGATAAGAAAGACAAAAAAGTCTGGATAGTGGAGTGGCAGTGCCTGGAGACAGCAGAATAGAAGAGAAAGAACTGGAGAAGATAACAAAATACAAAGACCTACAAATAGAACTAGAAAGACTGTGGCAAAAGCAAGCAAGGGTAGTACCAATAGTCATAGGCTCCTTGGGTGCAATCCCAAAACAACTGGAGCACCACTTGAACACAATTGGCATTGACAAATTCGCTATTAGTCAATTGCAAAAGGCAGCCTTATTAGGAACTGCTTCCATCCTGCGACGATATCTGTAATACCATCAAACATCCACATCTGCCTATCCAGGTCCTGGGTAAGGACTCGATAGGTAGACAAAATGCCAAATCCAGTCTGAACATCTGGCTGACTGTGCGATGATCCATAATAATAATAATAAAGTTGGAAGGGACCTTGGAGATAATCTAGTCCAACCTCCTGCTCAGGCAGGAAACCCTATACCATTTTGGACAAATGGCTGTCCAGTCTCTTCTTAAAAATTTCCAGTGTTGGAGCATTCACTGCTTCTGGAGGCAGGTTGTTCCATTGGTTCATTGTTCTAATTGTCAGGAAGTTTCTCCTTAGTTCTAGGTTGCTTCCCTCCTTGATTAGTTTCCATCCATTGCTTCTTGTCCTGCCTTCAGGTGCTTTGGAGAATAGCTTGATTCCCTCTTCTTTGCGGCAGCCCCTGAGATATAGAAACACTGCTATCATGTCCCCCCTCGTCCTTCTCTTCATTAAACTAGACATACCCAATTCCAGCAACCGTTCCTTATATGTTTTAGCCTCCAGTCCCTAATCATCTTTGTTGCTCTTCTCTGCACTCTTTCTAGAGTCTCAGCATCTTTTTTACATTGTGGTGATCAAAACTGGATGCAGTATTCCAAGGATGGCCTTACCAACTCCTAGGGATGATGATCCCATGGGTGTTCTTCTGTTTTTGTGATATATTTGTCCATCAAACTGAAAATAGATGGTGAGGCAGAGCTTGAGGTCCATGATTATGGGTATTTAGATCTTAGTGTACCTGGCTATGTCAGGTATGCTGTGTAGCATTGCTGCCATGGATTCCTCCACTAATTCTGGGTGTATAGCCATACAGAGTGTTGTGGCACTGAACAAAATCATAATGATTATTGTGTGCCACCCCATATCACTTTTGGTGAGATGGGTGGCTAAAGAAACTTGACAAACAAATAAAAATTCTATCTTCTTCTAACTGTAGGCCTTTGATTATCTGGATCCAGTGGGGAATAAAAAAAAACTGAATTGGGGAATTGGTTGAATATTTGCTCCCCTCTGTGAGATGTCCAGTTTTCTTTGCATTTTTTTTTAGTTGTGTTATATGTTGGGTTCCCTGATAATAGTACAATTGGATGAAGAGGTACATCTGGCTTATGTATTTTCAGGCATCTATAGAAGGGAGAAAACCCATAATCATTTGCCCTGATGATTTTACCTAGTTGGGTAATGAAGCATTTATAAGCAAACAACAAAGCCTAGAGAGAACCAAGAATTCCATAGCACCCACTCTGAAGTTCTCTAGCCATATCCAGCAGGAGTTACTGTTGTCCAGCTGAATTTTGTACATACCTTCTAAAGTCTATATTTAGTGGGTGATTTTATGGATTTTCTTTGTAATTAATTAGTTCATATCACTCAGCTTTGCATAGGACTCCAAAAGACATTAATTTTTTAAAAAATGTTTTCTACAACCAAGACAGATAAACAGCTAAATATATTTTCAGGCCCACTGATTTTTAAGCAGAAGATAGATTATGCCCATGTTCATGCAAGTTTCACATTTAAACATGAAATACCATTGGTTTCACACTCTGGAATTTTATTAGCCAATTTTATGGACTGTGTTATTTATTCACCATATTCCACCTTTTCACTCTGCCCTTCATGCTTCCTGACACCAACAACCCCTTGAGGCGGACTGGGTTGAGAATTACAGAGTGGTCCAAAGTTGAGTTTCTATGGTTTCAATATAAGTCTCAATTTAATACCCAGCCATGACACCGTCTGGCTGTTACCAATAATACCATATGTATTGACTGGATTTATCTATGACTAACATAAGAAGAAGAATTTGTATTACATAGAATAGGACCTTTAAGCAAGAAAAGACAATTTAAATAAATAAATGCATTCTATGCAACAGGTTGACATTTTGATAGCTCATTCTGAGATTACTCAATAGTAACCAACAGGTAACAACCATATTAAGAGGTGGCGCAGCAGTTAGAGTGCAGTACTGCAGGCCACTTTAGCTGACTGTGTTCAGCAGGTCAGCGGTTCAAATCTCACCGGTTCAAGGTTGACTCAGCCTTCCATCCTTCTGGGGTAGGTAAAATGAGGACCCAGATTGTTGGGGGCAATGTAAATATATATATACATTGCTTACTGGTGTACACCGCTTAGAGAGTGCTTGCACTTAAAGCGGTATATAAGTCTCATAAATAAATAAATAAATATTATTGGTCACTATTGAGTAATCTTAGAATGAACTATCAGAATGTCAACTTGTTGCATAGAATGCATTTATTTATTTATTTAAATTATCTTTTCTCACTTAAAGGTCCTATTCTATGTAATACAAATTCTTCTTCTTATGTTAGTCATAGACAAATCCAATCAATACATATGGCAAACAGATTGATACCACATAACTACATTTAGCCATTTAGATCTTGTTACCCAAGAGTTTCACTAAGCACAAAGCCAAATGAGAGGGAACACACTGCCACCTATATAATGAAGTTGAGGTTCAACAGAGAGCAATAAGATTCTGTTTGTTAAGGCATCAACATTAACACATCGAAATAAAGGCAATTCAAGGCAATTCACATCAAAATCCTCTCCCCCCAAATTAACAATATGAGCCATAGCTTCAGATTCTACTAAAATGTTTGTCCCAAAGAGTGTATATTTGGGGTAAATTATCAACTAGATCCTTCATCCCATCCACATCAAAATAGCAATTGACTTCAATATATTGCATGATAAAATGAAATATTGTACCTGTAGCACCAATAGAAGCTTTGTTGTGCGAGACTATCATTTTCTGGAAAATGTACACTGCATAATAAAATTTAAGGTTTAAATATAAAGGCTAGCATTCAATAACGTTTAGGCACATTTTTAGATTTGTTGCAGCTGTGTAGGAAAGGAGCTCTATAAATTATAATTTTTTTCCAGTCATCATAACCCACAATTCTCACCTTCAATGTAACAGTGATTAATGACAATGTCTGCCCACTATATAGAAGAGAAATGGCTTCACTTATCTGAGTGTCAACCTAGACAAAAGATTAGTGGCAATGCCTAGACCATCATACTCCAAGCTACTGTAGATATAAGGATGGTATTTCATCCCATTCGGAGATTTTTTTGATAGGCAGATACCAGGTCGCTAATCCAAGAAAGTCATATTCAGGATTAATTCAGCCAGAATATTAACAGAAACAATGAAAATGTAATTAGCCAGGTATTAACAGTATATTGACTTGCAGAGGATTACTTTTTATGAAATGCTTATCATGGAAATATGGAAAGTAGTGACAGAAAGTCGCCTTTCTTAGACTTTTCTTGGCAAACTATAAATTGAACCTTGAGTCTTCTGCACAGAAAACCTGTGCTCTGGCAATGAGCCACAGTCTTCCTTTTAAATACTGCATTATGAGTTCTAGTATTAAATATTTAACATTGTAAGTTAGCTTTTCCAAAGCGTCTGTTCAGTTGCTGAAAAGTGCTTCATTTGGCTTCCAAAACTCTTCAGTGGCATGAATATAGATGTCCCTTATCCAGTGAAACCATCAGAGCAGGATGCTGAGTGGTTAGACTACAAACATTTGCTGGTGTGATGCTTCCTCTCTGGGCTACTTATCCCACATTTTATTTTGCATTTAGGACTGTTATGGCAGCTGTGCCCTTTCATGGTTGAAGCAGCAAATAGTAATAGTGATAGCACTTATATACCACTCCACAGTACTTTACAGTCTTCTCTAAGCAGTTTACAGAGTCAGTCATTTTACCAACCTCAGAAGGACAGAAGGTGAGTCAACCTTGAGCCAGTCAGAATCAAACTGCTGGCAGCAGTCAGCAGAATTAGCCTGCAATACTGCATTCTAAACAATGCGCCACCACCACCCTTCTGGAAGTGAAGGTCCTGGAAGTGATGCTTTTCTCACTAGTTACACCATTGCAACATTTTGCATGGGACTGCTTTTGAAAATCACTTGGACATGCAGTTGGTTCACACTGTATTAGTACATTTTTGAATGGTTGATAGACTTACTCATGACACCAATGCTTTGAGTTCTGTGCTGGCTATCAAGAAGCTTCCAGGAGCAATGTACTGTAATGTGCTAGTTTTAACCTTTAAACTCCTCTATGACTTGCCATCCAGGTACCTAAAGGACAGCAGGTGGATTCTACCTGTCCAGATGCTTCACAGGTCCTTCCCACATGAGCTCCAGAGGAAAGTGAGACGATCTTGTTTCTCATCAACAGCTCCTCCTCTGTGGGACAACCTTTCTCCATAAGGTCTTAAAATGCTCTCAAAAGGCAACTTAGTTAAAATATGCCACTAATACTTTTATTATGATTGTTTTGACAATTTCATTATTTCTATAGTATTACCATTTCAGTTTTCATTGTATAATAATAATAATAATAATACCAATAGTAATAGGCGCCTTGGATGCAACCCCAAAACAACTGGAGCACCACTTGAACACCATTGGCATTGACAAATTTGCTATTAGTCAATTGCAAAAGGCGGCCTTACTAGGAACTGTTTCCATCCTGCAACGATATCTGTAATACCATAAAACATCCACATCTGCCTATCCCAGGTCCTGGGTAAGGACTCGATAGGTAGACAAAATTCCAAATCCAGTCTGAACATCTGGCTGATTGTGCGATGATCAATAATAATAATAATAATAATAATAATAATAATAATAATAATAATAATAAAGGCATTTGACTCTCTGCCACATGATTGGATAATAAAGTGCCTAGAAATAACAGGAGTCAGTAGAAACATCAGAAAATTTGTGCAAAGATCGATGGCACAATGGAAGACACAGTTGCAGATCAATGGTGAGAGACTGGGAGAGGTTAATATCAAGAGAGGAATATTTAAAGGAGATTCATTATCACCATTACTATTTGTTATTGCACTGTTTCCTCTGTCAACAATACTGAATAACTCAGGACATGGCTATCAAACATAAAAAACATCTGCCAGACTATCACACCTCCTTTATATGGATGATCTGAAGCTGTATGGAAAAACATCATCTGAAATAGAATCGCTGCTCAACACTGTCCGTATATATAGCCAAGATATTGGAATGGAGTTTGGCTTGGACAAATGTGCCACACTTACTATCAAACAAGGAAAAATAGTGAAAACTGAAGGAATCAAGATGCCCCACGAAAATAACATTAAGAGTCTGGATGAGGAAGAGTACTACAAATACTTGGGTATTCTTCAAGCTGACAACATCAAGCACACTGAAAAAGATTAGAAGTGAATACATCAAGAGAGTGAAGAAGATCTTAAAATCCAAACTCAATGGAACTAAAAGCAATGGATAGGAAGACCAGAAAAATAATGACAATGAATCACACCCTTCATCCACGCAGTGACATTGATAGACTTTATCTACCAAGGCAAATAGGTGGGCATGGAATGCTACAAGTACATCAGATGGCTGAAGAAGAAAAAATGGCTTTGGAAGAATATCTGAAGAACAATGATGAAGATGCACTGAAATTAGTATATCAGGAAGGCTTACTAACTACTGGAGAGACCAAACTGGCCTACAAGAAAGACCAAATGAAGAACAGAATAGAGGCATGGAAGACAAAGCACTACATGGCCAATACATGAAAAAAATAGCTGGGAAAGCAGATAATAATAAAACCTGGCAATGGCTAAGAGCAGGAAAATTGAAGAAAGAGACCGAGGGACTAATTCTGGCTGCACAAGACAAGCCTTAAGGACAAATGCATACAAAGTCAAAATTGAGAAGACAGCAACAGACAGTAAGTGCCGCCTATGCAAAGAAGCTGAAGAAACAGTGGACCACTTGATAAGCTGTTGCAAGAAGATTGCACAGACTGATTACAAGCAGCGGCATGACAAAGTAGCAACAATGGTGCACTGGAAGATCTGCAAAAAATATCATTTGCCTGTAAGCAAAAACTGGTGAGATCATAAAATAGAGAAAGTCATAGAAAATGATAAAATTAAACTGCTCTGGGACTTCAGAATTCAAACAGACAAGCACCTGCAACATAACACCCCGGACTTAACAATTATCGATAAGAAAGACAAAAAAGTCTGGCTAGTGGACGTGGCAGTGCCTGGAGACAGCAGAATAGAAGAGAAAGAACTGGAGGCAGGTTGTTCCACTGGTTAATTGTTCTCACTGTCAGGAAATGTCTTCTTAGTTCTAAGTTGCTTCTCTCTTTGGTTAGTTTCCATCCATTGCTTCTTATCCTGCCTTCAGGTGCTTTGGAGAATAACGTGACTCCCTTTTCTTTGTGGCAAGCCCTGAGATATTGGAACACTGCTGTCATATCACCCCTAGTCATTCTCTTCATTAAACTAGACATACCCAATTCCAGCAACCATTCCTTATATGTTTTAGCCTCCAGTCCCCTAATCATCTTTGTTGCTCTTCTCATTCTCTTTTCAGAGTCTAAACAGCTTTTTACATCGTGGTGATCAAAACTGGATGCAGTATTCCAAGTGTGACCTTACCAAGGCATTGTAAAGTGGTATTAATACTTCATGTCATCTTGATTCTATCCCTCTATTAATGCACCTAGCACTGTGTTGGCTTTTTTTGACAGCTGCAGCACACTGCTGGCTCATATTTAAGTGATTGACTACCACAAGTACATGCAAAATGTGATCATATTGGAAAATAATATACAAATAGGTAAATGCATACAACATACATATATTTCTACATGACATTTCTGCTCTAGCTATGCTAACCATGTTTATTTGGAAAAAATAATAGACAAATGTGAAAAGGAAAAAATCCCAAAGAGTTTCAAAAGGATTAAAAAGTGTTGATATTTACAGTATAACTTTGCTTTACAAAGTAAAATCCAAGAGCAAAACCAAGACAAATTTATATTGACTAGAATAGAGCTGGAAGGGACCTTGGAGGTCTTCTAGTCCAGCCCCTTGCTCAAGCAGGAGAACCTATACCATCTCAGTCAAGTGACTGTCCAGTCTCTTTTTAAAAATCTCCAGTGATAGAGCACCCACGATTTCTGGGGGGTAAGCTGTTCCACTGGTTAATTATCCTCACTGTCAGGAAGTTTCTCCTTAATTCCAGGTTGCTTCTCTCTTTGATCAGTTTCCAACTATTGTTTCTTGTCTTGCCCTCTGGTGCTTTGGAGAATAGTTTGATCCCCTCTAAAATCAAACTGTATATACAGATTTGTTTTAAAAAGGCATTCAATTTCCATATTTCTCACATAAATGTTAAAGACTGTGCATAAAGTGGTGCCGTTTGTAGGGTAAAAGTTAAATGACCAAAATAAAAGACAAAAGTGAGTTTTTAAAAAATAAATAAACCTAAAGGACAGCTTTCTGAAATAAAGGACTGCTTTTTATAATAAAGGACATGTATTCACTGCAGCTATAGCATGTTTATAGATTCCTAGGAAATGATGGTTTAAACTCTTAATCATATTACCAAAATTAAATAGCCAAGCATTAGTAGTTCCATGTTTTAAAAATCTTAAATGTTGCAGTGGTTTTTTTTTTTTTTTTACTGTTTCCTTATTTTTCCTTCCGTGTGGGAAAGAGAGGAAGAGAGTCCAGCATCCTAAAATATTCTGGAATTTGGAGTCATTTTTCTGTATGGTTAGACATAGGGAGTTGCAAAGGATTTTGGGAAATTCCCATGCATCTGCCAAGCAAAAACATGCATTCATTTAAAACTATATCATGGGTGTCAAATTAATTAAATAATAAGTACAGATAGTTCTTGAATTACAATAGTTATTTGGCAACTGTTCAAAGTTACAACAGCAATGAAAAAAAGTGACTTATGACCGCTTTTCACAGTTACAATATTTGCAGCATCCCCATAATCATGTGATCAAA